CAGGCAAAGACTCCCAGCCGAGGAGAGGGTGGCTGCCGCCGACAGGCAGAGGAGGCTGAGGACGTGGAGCGGGGCTCCTGCCCGGGGAAAGCACGGGGGTCTGGTGACAGCAGGAAAGGTGTGAAAGGGCTGGGTTTGGGTGCAAGGACGTTTTAGGAGCAGAGCAAGACAACAGTGGCTCTTAGTCACATGAAGACTTGAAACGACTACCATCGTGGCTGATGAGCTCATAATTACAGAGTGGGGAAAATATGTTTCTTTTTGGGGGTTTCCATAAAAAACACAAAATACAAGCCAGTATCTGTTCTCTAACCAACAGTGTCGCTCCTTACAGCCAATGGTTTCAAGAGGATCCTTCCAAGAGACTTGTTAACCTCCTCCCGAGTGATGCATCCAACGTGACCCAGCGGAGCCCTGCAACCACTGCATGGCTCTTCCCCCGCCAGCGGGGCTGGAAGCATCTCTCAGGCACGCAAGACCCTGCTCCTCTCTCTCTGTCCACCGGCAACAGCCGCTCACATATCTGATTACCAGCTTCCATACCAGCTAACATTTCCAGAGTACCTGCCAGCCCCAATTAGTGTCCAGAATACAACTGGCATCCTTGCTAGCATCAATCTTACTGCCTTTATTTCTTAGGAACAGCATCCATCTGCTCCCAATAGCTCACATCTGGCATACTGAGTGTTATGAAAGAGCCTCGATCCTATTTGAAGGAAATCATTCCTCCAGCCAAGGGATTCATACAGAACTGAGTTTAGTATTTGTAGTTACAAATTTACTACAGATCATATGGTTACCTGAGGTTTCAAACTTTAGAATTACAATTTCACCTAGGGTTTGGTTTTTAATGCCTAAAAAGTTGCTCTTACGTAAATCACCATGTGATGGAAAACATTTATGGAGAAAGCAAGGAGGAGAGGTGGTAGGAACCTGAGCACAGAGGATCTACACAGCAAAAATGCTCCTGAGCACTGCCCAGGTCGCTGAAGGTTTCCTCCTGCAATGAGCAGTGTATAGGAGGTGGAGGTATTCCTTGTCTTAAGCATTCCCTTCCCAGTCTCACCGCCCGGCACGGTACGCCCAGCCTTCCCGTGATGACCCCAGAGCAGGAGAGGGTACGACCTGCGCGCTTCCCAGGGGACAAGGGCCACCACTGCATCTGCTCAAAACGCTGCAGCGGGACCAGGAGGAAGCAGCCTGTGCCTCGTGCTGGGACACACGAGCTGAACTGCAGAACAAACATCGGTCACCAGCCCTTAGAGAGGGGTGACAATCTCCTGCATGACAGCGGACGGCCCATGGTGCCATCAACGGAATGAAGGCAGATAATTAGGCAGAAAGAGGAGGTCTTGCCCCCCTTGGAAGAGAAAAGCAGGGTGGTGCTTGGAAAGGCTGCTACAGCGATGAGCTGTAAACCAGGACTTTTGCAGAAGAGGGACAGCAAGGTGGCTTTCGAGATTCCCCATTCCAGTACAGGGAACGTGGCTGGTCTGACATCTCTGCATCCAGACAGAGGCAGAGACCAGCACTGGGCAAACTCCAGGCTTCACCCCCATTTCAGCTGAGCTGGCAGTTTGTGTTTTGAGTGTCATTCCTGCCTGGCTGGGGAGGGAAGGACGCTTTGCCCTCCGGTTGCAGTGGGAGTAGGCTAGCCGGCAGGGCTGTCAGTAATAAGTGTGCATGTGTTTTACTTGGCCCTACTCCTAAAATAATTGTTTGGCCACAATGGAAGGTGACAAGCGATTCAGCTGTGGCCCCACAGGGAACATCAGGAGAAAATCCCCAGCCACTCGCAGGACCGTGCCTGGGCTGCTCTGAACCGCAGCATCGCCTCGGCCCGGGGGCTCGCCCCCACCAGCCCCGAGTTCTCCTCCTCTCGCCTACTTGGACCAAATGGCTCCCTCCTCCGCCTGCCTGGGCTCAGCAGGAGGGTGACCGAGACCAAAAGAGGGTGCATCAACCTTCACCCGAATGTGGCAGAGCTGCTATTGAAAAAACAAAACCCTACTCAGCTTCTGGCAGGAGCATGGAAAGTGCAGCCAGCATCACTGGGAACATAGATATTAAATTAACAAATATCTCTACCCAAACACGTGTGTACTATGATTGCTCAAGGCCATAAGTATGAATACATTTGGATGGATTTTCACTGGGTAACATTAAAGACAGATTCTTGACACAGGGCTCACCTGCAACTCAAGTTTCCAATTCTTCCTCCAACGCATCAAAAAGATCATCAGAACTGGACCCCGGAAAAATATTTTTCCCTCTTACTGTGTTTTCAGAAGCAGCCGAACCATTTTAGCCAATCAGTTATTCTGTGGGGTTTTTTTGGTTTTGTTTTTTTTTAAATAACCGGAGGCATGAATAATTTCCAGCATGGAAAATTTCTGCCTAAAGAGCTAAAATTGGCATAGAATCATCCAACAGTCATATAATAAAGGCCTCCAGCAACAGCAACAGTCAGTGCTACCAAGCCTACCTAGAGCATTTTTTTCCACTGTGCTAAGAGGATCTGTTTCACTCCTCGCCTTTCAATCCAATTTCCACTGTACTGCACCACAAGTTTAAAATAAGGACACCAGGAAGCATGTGCGATAAGGGGGAAGGAAGGGAAAAACCACAGTTTCATTCATTCTTTCAACAGAGCCAAAAAGGAGTGGTTACTTTTTTGTTTGTTTGTTTGTTTTAAGAAGAAGCTGGAGGGAACAGGGAAGGGGGGAGATGTTTGCTTTAAACTTTCCCATCTGCACCATGATATATATATATATAAAAAGCACCTCTGCCTCTAAAGGTGCTGCAGGGTGTTTTGCAGAGCCAGTTTGAGTCTCTGGCTGCAGACAGCCTCCAGTGACGATGCTTTCCATCCAGGAGCGTGCACAGCTCCAGCCAAGATGGAAGGGGAGGAAGAGAAGAGGGACGGCCACTATTT